AGAGAAAATGAAAGGTATGAAGCAATAAAGCAAGGACTATAAAAAGTGTCATGTTAAAAGCAAGCAAGTGGTAGAATTGTTAAATCTCCAGTTAAACAGGGCTCTTCCATGAAGTTGTGCAAGTCATTCAAACCTAGTGTCTACCACCTCCCCATTCTTCCTATATTTTTATAAGTTTGTGGGGAATGCACAGGTTGTGATCTGGAGACATGCTTTGCCCTCGCAGCTGTAACTGAAGTCACTAGATACTGAAAATATAATCTTCTACTGTACTGGGACTCCTCTGCTAAAGGATCCTGGATGTCTCAAGTTGGACATTATGATTTAGCAGACAATTTTGACCTTAATCTCCCTGTGCCCCAGTTTCCTGTCTGATCCCGGTGTGACGAGATAAAATGCAGAAGATGCTCAATGGTACCTACAAAGCACCAGCAGATTAGGGATGAGCACCACGAAAAAATTAATTGTGCCACAGTTGAGCAGAGGTTGGCTGGTGTCCCAGGAATGTGGCACAGGGCCATGCTGAATGAGAAGTATAAAAAGGAAAGGCTTAGCTGAGCCATCCTGAGTGCATCCTAGGTGCATGATACATAGGGAGCCTTAATTATTCCTAATTCCTGTGTGCTTGACTCAGCAATCCAACACTCTCTGAATGCTGTTGCCTCGTGTAGGTTCTGCATCCCTTTGCTTTGGACTGCCAGAGACTAAGGGACAGGAGATCCATAACCTCCAAGTCTCGTTGTCCAGGCTTAACTTGCCCAACCCAACAGAGAATAAAGAATTCTCATTGGTGCCAAATCAGAATCCAGCAAGTACTTTGGCTCCGAGGTTTCATCAATACTTTCCATCAATTTTTATACCAAAAGCAACAACTTTTGTCAAGTTTTTATTGATTTCCTGTCTGCCAAAGTGCTTTTTCAAATTTGTAATGGGGTAAGGAGCAAAATGCCCAAAATAGGAAAGAAACTGTAATTTATTCCCTCCCCCCACCTTTTTTCTTTTCCTCCTAAGTATTTTTTTCAGGCATTATCAGCTGCTGCTATGGGCAGAGGTATTTCCTCCTTTCTGAACAGAATGCAGCAATGTTGTCACATATATAAGCAGATCTGATGCCATCCCCTCAGCAACTTTGAAACTCAGATTCCACTTGTATGGTGAGCAGGATGGTGGGCTCAGAGATGCTGGCTTTCTTCCTGCAGATTCCTGACAGTTCTTGGGTAGTGTTTTTGGAGCCAGTAAAAGCGAATTGACCTTACAGTCCTCCCTGCTGAAGGGAAGAAAGTTGCAGTATGACCTCTGCTGTTGTCACTCTCCAGTTTCTGACAACAAGTGTACTTTACTCACGGAGACAGATTTATTAAGGATCTCATGCCTCATAGTTACCAGAAAAGCCTCTTGTGTCACATTCTTCAGTGCAGTTTCTCTGGACTTTAGGGAGCAAACTCCACCTGCTTTTCCCACAGTTAGCATGCTTCAAACATCTCTCTCTTGCATCTGTTTCCCACTTGAGCCCTTGTTTCAGCCATATACCTCTAAGTCATGAGACATGACACACCGGAAATCAAACACTGCTAATTTGGAGTTCAAAGACCAATTTGTACAAATTTCTTTGTTTATAATAAAAGCTTGCGGTCATCTTGATTAAGATTTTTAGAATGGGAGATCTTCTGTGTGCACCTGAGTTAGAAAACATCTCTGAGCCTTGCCAGGAGTATCTCATCACTCAGTTCTGCTCTCAATATTTTTAGACCTATGTGGGTGAGTCTCATTGGGAGCACAGGGTGGTCCCAGGGAATCTGATTCACCTTATTACACACTGAAAGCAAATGAAATATGAGTCTGTTCAGCAGCTCCAATGTTCTAATGACTCAGGCCATCGGGGTGGATCAGTGCCTGACCTATTTATGCTGGTCTATGTCTCCCACCTCTTCTAGGAGCCCCCTGAGTGATGATTCTGCAATTAATACATTCATGGAAGAGACACTTAAAGTTTTGTGCCATGCATAAGAACCAGTTCTGAAATGTTCAATAGTCCCTGAAGTAAAATAACCCTCTCCTGTAGGTTTAGATTCAAAGGGTCAGCTCTTCACCACATGCAGCTGAACTTTATAGTGTGCACTGTCTCCACTTGCTGTGGGAGTTTGATGCTTGCCCACTGCTGGCTGGATATTGAGTATTGTGCCTTTTGTAGAAATACCAGCAAAGAGGTAAATCACCCTGAGCAGGTGTTTCAAATTTCAGAAGAAAAGAAATAGTGAAGCGGACGAGGAAGGAATCGTGATTACTTTTACTCTGCTACAGCAATGTGCTCTTTCCCTTTCTGCCTTTTTCCTTTTAGGAAAGGAATACTAGTTTCTTCCCTTAAAGAAATAAAGCTTGCAAGCCAGGAAGAAAGAAGAGCTAGGAATCTTCTGATCTTCCATCAGGAATTGTTACATTTAGCTTCATATCCTCAACTTTTCTAAAAATGTTTTAACAACTAATTGACTCCTTAAAATTGAAACTCTGTTGACTTACCTCTTCTGGGATAACAAAAGAAATGCTTTTTGAATCACAGTGGATTTTCTGTCACATTTAAGAACACCTGGTTGAGACTGGGGTATTTTTAATGTGAAAAGAAACTGCTTAGCTGCCCTTTTCCTACTTAACACTGACCTCAAACCTTTCTGATGGTTTCCTGCACGGTGACTTGGTACTGTTTCCAAGCACAGTTTGAAGACTCCCAAAAGAAGACAAGTCTCCTTGCAGTTCCCAGTTTGCTTTCTTTGTCAGACTCTTCTTTTCAAGGTTATCTTTAGCCTCATCCAGCATTCCAGGAAAAGAAAGACATGTCCTCTGGACTTTTTTTGCAACTTTGATATAGAGGCAAGAATTCCACCCCATGTCCTGCCCTTTCTATATGACGTCTGTGACATTTAAAGATACGTTTTTGGAGCTTGTCCCTCTTCATAACCTATTGTTTAACTAGTGCCACTGGAAATACAGCAACAGAACTTAATAGTGGGATCTGAAGTTGAGGATATGAAGCAGGGAGGAAGAAGTGACACTTAGGCATGACTGCCACATCAGAACAGAGATGTTTAGTGGAAAGGATAAACAAGAGGGGGTTTGATCAGTTAATGAAAATGGGGCGGGGGATAAGTAGACAAATCTAGGTTTCAAAACGAGGTTGGGAAACGAGTAGAAAAATTCAGACTGGGTTCAGATTGGGTGGGATTGAGGGAATTGGGGAGTAGAAGTCCTGGCAACAGTGTCCAGACAGATCAGTCACACAGTATTTGTTGGTGCACAGATTAGACACATGATTTAGACATCTAAAACACGTGTTTTAGATGGCTACTGCTCACTTGAAAAAATGAAGGTGTTATCCTCCATCCTCCAATTATCAGGAGCAAAATTTCCCTGTACCTGGGGCAGTGCTCAGCAGGAGCATCTTTTAAACGACACCACTCTGAGGAAAGCCCTGAAGATTTCAGACCTGGGGGGAAAACAATAAATGTTTGACAAATTGGGTCTCGTTCACCTCTTGACCTAGTTTTCTATCAGCATTCCCAAGCTGATTGTAATGGAGCTGCTCCTGATTTGCATTTGTTTAAATGAAATCACAACCAGACCTTTTCCAGGGACAGCAGTACTGGCAGCTGGGAAAGAGCTGGTCCTGAAAAAGCTCCCAGTGTGGTAGAGATTTTAAACTTTAAGCAGAGGAGTTGAGGTAACCTCAGTGTGACATGTTGAACCAAGACTGAAGCACGGGAAGGAGCAGGTGCTGAAAACAGGATGAAAAAATAAATAAATTGATTTTTCCACAGTGGAATGATGTCCTCTGGGAGAAGCACGGCTGCTTGTGCCAACCAGGGCAGGAATGTGCGGCACACCGAGATGTGCTTTGCAGACCATGCTCCTGCTCTGGACAAACAGCGATTTTCTATGTCTTGGTTCCTTCTTAGGATCCTTTCCTGTCTTCAGCAGCATGCAAAATTAGTAGAGGCAGAAGCAGGAGGTGGAGAAATTCCTTCCAGGATTTTACTGTCCACAGATTTAAAAAATACTGTCGGAGTCATGAAAAGGCTGGAGGGAGGAAGGCGGCTGGGTCAGGAGCAGGGCAGAGCTTACACGGAAATTCGAGTGCAGTGTCTCACGGCACTGACTCACCTGCTTCTTTGGGGCTCCGGCACAGCCGAGCCGTGTCCCTTTATAAAACGACAGAAAGGACGTCTCCAGCCCCAAATCTGCCTCCCGTTGCCCCTCACGAAGAGAGGGAGAAATTCTCCAAAAAAAAAAAAAAAAAGTTTGAAAGGCTGATGGCTTCAGGCAAGGCTGGTGGCATTGGTGGCATTTTACACCTTACCTTGCACTTCGCGGTTATCATTTGAGGGCAAAGTGCAGCCGCCCTTCCACTGTGCAACGCAAGCATGTTCCCAAGTGTTTTCCCGCAAACATGGGAACGCCGGTTTAAAAAAAAAAACCCAAAACACCTTGTAGGTGCAAAAACAGGGGGCTTGGGTTTTCGCTTAGTTTCGCTCAGGGGCACAGGGCAGAACTTCTCAGGGGGATCCCCGGAGAGCGCGGGAAGGGGCGGGGGCCGGCGGGGGATGCTCGGCGGGGCGCGGTGCCTCCGCCAGCTCCCCCGCGGGCTCCGCGGGTCCCCCGCCCCTCCGCGCCGCTCCACCCCCCTCCTCCCATCCCTCTCCCATCCCTTCCCCATCCCCCCGTGCCCCCCCGTCCAGCCGTGCCGGCGCCGTCGCAGGCGCAGGGGGGGCGGGCCGGCGGCGGCGGCGGGAGCGCGGAGCGCGGCGCGGCCCCCCACAGTACCGCGCTCGCAGACCGGCCCCGCGGGGGCGCCACTACCATGAGCGGCCGCGGCCGCCCCTCTGCCGACTCCTCAAACCGGCACCGGGCGCTCCCGCCGCCGGCCGGCCCCCCCGCCGCCCGCCGGCCGCCGCCGTCTGCCGCCCGCATGCCGCGCGCACCCCCAGGCCCCCTGAGCCCAGGCGCTGAGGATGCCGGGGGGCAAGAGAGGGCTGGTGGCACCGCAGAACACCTTCCTGGAGAACATCGTCCGGCGCTCCAGCGGTGAGAGAATCCCCCCCTCCGCCCGTCCGTGCATGCATGCATCCATCCGACCGTCCGTCCGTCCACCCGTCCGTCCGTCCATCCAGCTATCTCTCCGTCTGTCCAACCCTTCGTCCCTCCCTGCCGCGCCTATGGGTCCGTGCCAAGCGGTGCCTTCAAGGAACGGGCTCCGCGGTGCCCCGCTGGGCTCCGCCGGAGCATCCCCCGGCGGTCCTTCCCTCGGCTGTCCATCCCCCGGCGGTCCTCCCTCGGCTGTCCATCCCACCGGCGGTCCTTCCCTCGGCTGTCCATCCCCCGGCGGTCCTTCCACTGTCCCCCCCCCTCCGCACTTAGATCGCTATCGCTACTATAAATTTAACCCTTTTTTTTTTCTTCCTTCTTTCTGTGAGACGCCTCTGACAATAAATTGTCATAATTTACTTTTCTAATATCTTCTCTACTCATCGGGTCATTTTTTTTTTTCCTTCTCCTCCTTCTTGTTCTTTAGTTTTGTAATAATCAGACTTGCAATCGTTTCCATTCAGGGGTTCAAAGTTTTTGCGATTCTGTGACACTTTAAAGTCTGTGGCAAAGGTACCGGGAAAGCGGTGAGGGAGTGACTGTGCTTTGGGTGATGCTAATCCTGTGGCTCAGAAAATATGGAAAGAACGGTCTGCAGTTGCTTATCTATGGCCCCTCTGTTAGGTGACTGTGTCGAGGGCTAGTTCAGGACTGTGTGGCATCGAGTTATTCCTTGCTGCTGGAGTGAATTTCACCCTTTCTTGCAGTGCAAAGCACTGAGCAAGAAGACTACATAGCTCCAGTAAAGTTACAATGTGTTTGCAGCCCATGGTCTCTTCGGGTGTGCTGATGTAGATGCTGCTTTAGGCAAGCCCTGTGCTTACATTCTTTTTTAATGTAGTTTTTGCACTGGCACATAACCACAGAAACATAGGAGTGTTTGCAGAAATGTAAGAGACCTCAACTTTGCATCTGCTAAAACATAACTACTTGGTCAGCCCAAATTTGGAGCGACCCTGCCATGGGGAAGCACAGCTGTGCCAGCCTTCATCTGGGGACAGGAGTGGGAAAGGTGGCCAGAGCAGAGCACTGAGAAGAGTTGCCACATTTATTACTAAACAAGACACTAATGGGATGTGATATCGTGGTGAAAAGTGTTCCCTTCCGCCTTCCTATTGCAGAGTTCTTGATGTACCTCACATTTGTACTGATGTGGTCTGATGTGCGGATTTTGATGGCAGGTAGTGAATTAGTGATTCATGGACTTCCAAAGCAGCAGGATGAGGACCTGGAATTTGTTATAAAATGTTGTATGTTAGAATGTAGTAAGCCATCAGCTGTTTTTTTGGGAGGCTTCCTCCCTCTCGTGTTGCTTGGGTCAGTTCTGTGGTCGGCAGCTGACTCCCTCTCAAGCCCTGTAGCTGCACAATCACTGAGAGCTGCTTTCCCGCAATAGTGTATTTATTTCCCAGAATATTAAATGCAAGCTTAATTAATAAGGGTTTATATAGCACCTTCCCTCTGACAATTTCAAAGCGCTGGGTGGAATTTAATTACACTTCACAGCTCCTTGTGGAAGAGGACACACAGAGGCATTCCCAACCTGTTCTTCAATTTGTGGCGTAAATGGGGGCTCAGGGCATCACAGCTGATTTCCCAAGGTCATGCGGCAAGGCAGAGGCAGAGCTGGGAACATGGTTTGGGAATGCCATGCTTTTGTATCATGCTCTAATTAAATCACATGTCCTCCCTGGTGAAAGCTCAGTAAAGCTTTGAGATGTCAAAAATTGGAAAAGCGTGGAACATTGTGCTTTAAAAGCATGTATTCTCTTCCGGCTTTTAACCTGGTCTAATTTCAGAGCGTATATCATGCTGATCTGGTCATTCGTGCTTCTTTTTCTCTGGCACTGGTGATGCCTAAGCATGATGCTACAGAGGCAAATCTGCCCCGTTGGACGGCAAAGAGGAAAGTAGATTGGGAATTTGTTTTTAAGTCATGTAAGTTGTCAGTATTGTGGCCTGAAACATGATTTAGTTCTTATTTTTGTCATCCAAGACATAGCCTTATTTATCCTTTATAGAAATAGTAATTTTCATTGGATTCAGCACTGTTTAATCCAAACTTAATAGTATACAGTAGAGCAAATCTGGTTCAAGTATCTCCTGCCAGTGCTCGGTAGAAGACAGGGATTTGGTCTGCTGAATATCTGCTGAGTTTGTTTTTATACTTCGATTCACCAGTTTCCAAGAGATTTTTCACTGGCAATTTGAGGAACAGGATGAAGGAAAGACTGGTGATTGTTTTTTAAAATACATCTTGAGCATCAAGAAAAGCCCTTCTGTCAACTTTCCTGGTTAAAGAAAGTTATGCTTTGAGATTTGTCACATTTATGCAATCCCATTGCGCCTCTTGATCATAAATCTTTTCCTGTCAACCAGGAGAAGGTTTGTAAATGCAAGTAATAATTTCTGATAGGCTGCAGGTACTGTGGGAAAAATCAGGCAGGTATGTCAGCAGATAGGCTCTTCTTCAGGTGAAATGGAAGCAATGGCTTCAAAATGAAATGTAGGTGGAGACAAATTACTCAGAGTTGCCAGAGATGGATCCGAATAACAAAATTTATAGACAAAATTGTAATAATTTTAATATGTGGAAAATCAGAACTGGGAACGGGCTTAGTGGGTGTGTAGGCTTAGCGTGGTGGTCAGCCTGGTATTAAAAGCAATAATATATTGAATTTCCAGCATTATTTAGGCATTTTCTGTTTAGGAATGTTGTGAACCTTTCCTTTGTACCCCAGCTTTGGCTACAAATGATATTAAAACTGTGGGAGAAGCGCTCACAAGAAAGTGTGTAGTCAGGAGGAAAACACAAAAGAGCTGAGTAGAAAGGAGCAGGGTGGCCGTGAAACGGGGTGGCTGTGGAATGGGGTGGCCATAGCTCTTTGCCCTCTGTATTGGAGGGTGGGATATATGGGATGCTCTGCCAGATGTTCCTCTCCCAGCCAATGTGTTTGGGGAGGATGAAGCAGCTGTCAAAAGTGATGGAGAGGTCCCACGGTGTCCCTTTGCCCGGGGAACCTCTCTTTTGGAGATGAATTTAAACCTCGGAGCTTCTGAAGTGTTTCAGGTCAGCGTTATACTTCGGTGTTTGGACAGCACCAGGTTACAGGTGTTTCCCAAAGCCTTTTGTGGTGGATGGCAACCTCTGAACTGCTTTGCAGGTTTTTTTCCCACACTACAGCTGAGTTCCACTTGAGGAGAGATGAAGTCTGTGGAGAGCAGCGGGGTCCGTCATTAGACTGGCTGCTGCGGCTGGTAAAAGGGACGAGCCCTCAGAAAACACAGACCTGTCTTCAGGGTGATCTCAGTGCACTCTCTGCAATCATCTTTTTTTTTTTTTTTTCTTTCAAAGCACAGTGAAAATCGAGGCTTATCTGAGGCTCACAAAGATTGATACGATCTCGCTACAGCCTTGGCTGTGCCCTGGATCTTAAGAGCACCAGGTGTTTTGCTGAGCTGAAAGAAGAAGTGTTTTGTGAGAGCACTGGGTTAAATCACATTAAGGTGGCTGCCTTTTGCTGCCATTAGTATTTGGGACTTTTAATAAGGACCATCCTTAGGGCAATGTTCTCTCCTAAGATGTTCTCACCGGTCTGTGCCCATTATTACTGATATTTTTTTTTTGCTTCTTCAGTGCATTCAGAGCTCCTGCTCGTACTGACCACAGCTCAGTATTGCAGAAGTGCAGCAGGTACAGAATTGGGCAAGTCTCTAGATCAGGGCTGGGCTTTGTGGACCTGTCCCATGGGCAGAGTCATCCAGCGAGTTGAGCCACGCACACAGGGGCAGAGAAACCTGTCTGTCTTGCCTATCCATCTTACCCTTCACATACTCTGGCAGCAGAAGGATTAAGCGTGTGTTAATGGCATAAATCGTTTTTATAGTAGAGGATGAGTTTGTGAGAAAAGCAACTCTGGGACTTTGCAACAATCTGCAGTAAAGTCTGCTAACAGTTTGGAAGAGGGGCTGAATTTAGTGGAAGAATATAATCTTATTTATTTGACAAGAGTGATTATTACTGGATGTTGGTTCTGTTACAATAACTCTTAGAAGCTTCTTCAGGAAAGTGGGTCTTTCACAAATGTATTTTGACACTGGGCTGAAATCTTATCTCTGTAAGGCTTACATGGGAATTTCAGCAGGAGCTTTAATGAAGTTAGCGTGTAATTCCTGGTCTTTTTCAGCTTTGTGCCATGTTCCTACAAAGCAGTTCCTTCACATAGACCTTTATGCCCTGCTGGGTCCCTGTGACTTCGATGGGATCAACCCTGTTCCCAGGTGACTGTGTTGTCAAGGCAGGTTACCCAGGAGGGGGGAAGGAAACAAGAGTCACATCTGTAGCGCTAAGACACCTTTTTAATTTTTATTACACTGGTACTACGGATAAAATAAGTACCTATTGTCTCTTCTGTCCTTCTTACTAGCTCATGCAGTGTACCTGTCTTACAGGTAGGGTGATGAAATGTTGGTCTCGTGGGAGGTCATACATGTGGGCTTCTCTCCCCTGAATTAAAACAAACTATGTTTCTATCTGATCCAAATTAAATTACACATGCTGCAGAGAGAAAGTACTTAAAAGCAAGTTACTTCAAGTTTACTGGATGTCTGTCATTTGGGATCCTCCAAAAAAACCACGGAGCTCAGCGGTTCCCTAAATCTCTACTTAAAAGTCATGATATGCTGTGGGGTGAAAGTTTCCATCCTCCAGGTCAGCTCAGAAGTTACTGAAGGGATGACCAAGGAGCTTATGTCATTAGGGCTTCTTTGGCATTTGAAGGCAGAGGGTTCCTTTTGCCATTCCCGTGACTGCAGGGTGCCTGCTGATACATGAATCAATGCAAAGTGGATTTTTACATTGAGAAGCATTATTAGATGACATTTGTGAGGAGTTTTCAATTGCAATTGCTCTGCTTTCCTTACTTTTCAAGTGGGCTTGCTGAGTGCAGAAAGACCAAGCGTATCTGACTGCTGCTGAAATCGGGGGTTTTGCATGGTCTAAATTTTTTAATTTTATTAAAAGAAAAAGATGGTTGTGGCAGCTCTGTGCCACTGTATTAATTTAGAAACCCAAAGAATGCTCTATTGCTAGTTAAAGGAAAAGATGGATTTCCTTAAGATTTGATCAGCTGCGTTGTGGTCTAATTTCTAATTGTGGGTCTAGTCTCTATTTAATTTCTTTCATTTCTTTTCTTTCTTGTATTTCTTTTCTTTCTTATATTTCTTGTATTTCTTTACTTTCTTATATTTCGTTCTGTGCCTATGGCTGGTGGGATGGGGCGGTGGGAGAGGTATCCTTTTGTTTTGGGAGAGGCTTGAGCGCTGCTGAGCGTTGCCACAAGAGGTCACTGCAAGAGTTGTTGCATTCCCAGGTTAATGTTTAAACGTGAGAGAGAAGGAAAAAATGAAATTATTGATTTTTTTTTTTTTGAGTAAACATTCAGGTTTTTTTATTGCTGTTGGAACGAGTATACAGCCAAAAAATAATGTCAGGAAGTGAAGTGAGCTGTGGAAATACATTTAATTAGCCTGTTGTAAAATAGTGCTGTTTGGTGGTTAACCGGGATTTTAAGTTATTCTCCTGGAAAGCTAAAGGAAATAGAATTTTCTGATTTGATAAAATTAAATAATAGAATATTTTGGAGTTGGCACTTTAATAATCTGCTTTTTAGAAAAAAAACCAAAACAAAACAGAACTGGTTTAATCATCACACTCAGCGACTGGCTATTTGTAAATGCCAAACCCTGGGTATCCCAAATGGCCAGGGCTTGATTCCACACCCGGCAGCGGTTCTGGCTGTGAGTAGCCCCTGAGGAGACTCTCCTGAAGCATCACCTCAGTGCTGGGCTGGGATCCGTCCTGTTGATAGCTTTGCTTCAGCCACTGGCACAGAGGAGAGAGCAGGGGAGAGGCAGATGAATCTCTGCTGAAGCAGTTTTTTTTTTTGAGATGCAGCCAGGCTCTGTGGAACTGCAGCCAGGACTAGCTGCGGGCTGAGTGTTTGCAAGAGGAGCCCCTGTGTCTGAACAGCTCCCGTTACCACAGTTTTCTCCTCTGGGAGTGTGGAGCCAGCACTCTCATTTGTATAACGCTAGAAATCTGGCTTTTGGTTGCTCCCTGAGGGTGCCTGAGTGAGAGCTACAGCGTGCTCCAGTTTAAATTTAGTCTCGGAACATCTCTGTTGTGTTCTGCATAATTTTAATAGAGAACAGATTCAGCAGTGGCATTTAGATGATAACCTGGATAGATGAGGATTAGTTTAAT